TTCTCTGCCTTACAGCTGGGCATTACATTGGCTCAAACCCCGCATCTTAACTGGTTACCCAGCTCCTACTGATCTGATGGTCTTGCTGTAAACAGAGTATCTTTAACCTACTGTAGTAAAACTAAATATTTGCTTTTCATCCAGTAGTTAAATCAGCATCATACCAAACAGCTGAAATCTTCCCCAAACTGATTTAAGCAGTTAATCACTAATCTGACTGCAAAGGGGCACTGATATGCTTGAACTGGGTTTTGCTTTGTATGGAGATGTGGGTTAGTTCCCTAACTTCTCTCCAGGACCTAAATACCCTGCTCTGGGCAGTCATGAACCACATATCTCCAACTGGGACTCAGCCCTTTGAATCCTGTATGGCAGTTAAAGCTTGCGTGGGCATCTTATCACTTACTGCAGTCTGGTTATTTATAAAACAAATGAGACCAAGTAGAGAGAGAGCATTCGTTCCTTCTCCTCTAATGACAGGAGCTGGGTACATGAGAAGTTCCACAGAGACCAAGGGTGTAAACCCAAAGGAGAGGCACCTCGCAGCACATTTACAAGTGCTATTTATCAGTATATAAGCAAATACAGAATACAAGAGGAGTAAACACTTAGAAGATATATGTACACATTCAAAATAAAGAACAAGACCAAGTTTCTTTCATTTATCAGTATTTTAAGACTGGCTTTGCTTCTGTTTAATCTAACAGAAACTTATCACACTGTTCTAAAAGAACAGTCCTAATCCGCTATTTTTAAAAGGGATGAATTCAGATACCCCATCTATCAGAAAGATGTTCAACCTAAATTGGTACACCTAATGCTTCCCTAAACAAAAAATTGTCTCGCTCTTCCTTACTGACCAAGCGTAACTCCATGGTAACAATGTGCAATATTGCCTATGCCTCACATAAATAAGACATTATTTGTAAATCATTTCAAAGATAAAACAAAATCAGGAGGTAAAATAGATATATCTAACACTGTTGGGATAAAAATAATCTGTTGGAATAACGCATCAAAGTAAAACATCTCATCAGATACCAGACATCTTCAATGGACAGCAAAATTTAAATATTAAAAATATTTTGAAGTATAGCAAGACACTGTGGAGAAATCTCCATTTGAAGACAGTTCTGCATTTTAAGTGCCTTTTAATTTGACAATTTAATCCATTTCATACTCATAGTATTTTCATTCAGTTCCCATTTCTACTACATTTCAAATACCAAATATTAGTTATGAAATGCAGGTATTAGTTTACCAGAATTACATCCTTTTTAAAGAAGTGATTTTCTCAGGATGAAGCCATTACCTGAGGGAGCTCAATAAGGAACTCACACAAGCTTCTTGCCACTTTCTAATTTCTTCCATGATAAATAAAGTCACTTTATAAATGTGAAATTCTGCATTATAATGCTGAAAGGTAAAGCTATGAATGCAGCTGTATTATTTATAACAACAGACAGACATAACAGAGACTACAAGAAGTAAAACAGACACACTAAGCAATGCTTACTATTTAATCTCTAAATTTGTATTAAGCCAAGTAATTAGACCTGCTTGAATATATGAAACACTTGCAATGCCTGTTGATCAATGCTTAAAAGGATTACTTCGATGCAAAGACTCACTAAAATGATTAAACTAAGTTTTATTTGATGTCTGGTGCTTTCAGGGGTTCTGAAACTAAATAACTGTTGCAAATTGGCACAAGCCTATTGATTTAATAGAGGTATCTTGATTTACGTTAATTTAGTATGCTGCACATTGTCACTTATGGGTACTAACAGCTGTATGTCATGATATTCAAACATGATTTGCTATAAAACCTTAGACTTTGATAAAAACCTGTTAGGAAACACTGAGAGTGCGTGAAAGGCTGAGGCATGAATAAAGATGCTAATTCACCCATTGAATCAAATAGTTTGGTTTATATTTAAATTCTGCTTTTGTGATACTGCAAAAACAAATGTATAGATACCTGTAATTAAGTTCTGTGGTCTGTAATTTTCTCCCTTCAGGGGACCAGTGTTTGGAATGTTACAAAGGTATCATGATAAAATTCATCATAATGAAGCAATGCACAGTCAAGAAACAAACTTCAGAATCTCACATAATGAGTAAGGAAGAGATTGAAAATCAAAACGGGTTGAGATCTGTGACTCTTTCACTTGGAATGCCACTTCAAATCCAGGTCTAATGACTATGGAAATGGCATCTTCTGGAGCTGTCCAGAAACTTTCACTTTAGGGGAAATAATTTTTATTTTTAGCAAAATGAGTTTCTTATGAAAATGAGTTTCTCATTGAAAAGGTACTCTTCTGTTGGAACTAAATCTGTGGTCTTGTTTGGGAAACACTGTAATTAAATCTGGTTTTATATTTCCTTGAAGTTTATTAGCAAAATCAGTATTATTTTTTTTTTTTTTTTGGTCAATTTTGCTGTTCCCACTCAGCATAGGGCAAAGCTGACAAGAATTGCACTGTTTCCAGATATAACTACCACTGCTTATAATCTCCTCGCCATTAGGACCAGAGAATTCCAGAGATTTGGTAAATTTTAACTCACTGCTGCCAGGCTAGACTTAGTGCTGGAGACTAAAGGCTCTCAGGGTCTAGTACATAGCCAAGTCTTAGCAAAACATAAAGCTTTCAAGAAGGTCTGGAAATCCTAGAGACTCTAGTGCTTTTTGGATCCTGCATCACGAAGACAGGATTGTGGAGAGCTCCAGCTCTAGGAGCTGCCTGTCCCACAGCACTTCGGTCTCTGGTAGCCAGTCATTCTGGGCTCTGTAAAAGCTTGCAAGAAATTTGACAGTGTTTCATTGGAACTTTCCGCTTCGGAAAAAATATGTAGGTTTTGACAAAACAGTACTTTCAGTGATTTTTATAAAAGATGTTTGGGTGGAAAGTTACCAGTCAGCTGTACTTACTCAGCAGGTCTCTTGATGATCGCTCTTTCCTCCCTTACCTTGCCTTTGCTGCAGCTGTGAAAATGCTTTGTTTACAAAACAGCTTCTCATAAACTTTTTAGTGTTTCATAAATTTGTGAATGATGGTGTTGATAGTGCACACACTTATTAGGGACAATATCATTAGTTTAATATAACATATGAAGGGTGTCACAGCTGATTGCTATAAATGAGAAAAGGGTAACTAATTTTAACTTTGAAATTTTTGGAAACTTTGGTTTTGGATTCTGGAAGGGGCGTAAATTATAAGAAAACATCTGCCAGCATTTGCTGCCAGGAAGATCAAATACATTTGAGTACTGCTTTGAGCAGAAAACTAAAATATCCTGTTTGAAAGAAGAGGTTAATCTTTCCCTTGTCAGAAATCAAACACATACCTGAGAACTGATGATAAGTTCAATAAGGTGGCAATCATTCATTTAGGAAATGACAGACTTGCAGGAATTACATTACCACTCTAAATCTGCCATTATTTCATAAATTTCTTTCAATTAAAAAAAATGAGGTGGAGAAGGTGGCAATGACCACACACACAGAGTTAAAAGTGCCTACTTCTGATATCAACAGTTATGCACATTTTTCATTCCTTTTCTCCTTGGATGCTATAGATTTTGTTTCCGTTTCTTTAAAGATGCTCCATTATCTAACACAATCAGGAAAAGGCTTTTGTTAAAAATACTGATATCTGTATATTCTCTTGGGGAAAGCGGCTGTTGCAAGTGTACTTGTTAGATGGAAGGTTAAAGCAATTTGTGTTGAAAACAGAAATATACAGAAAAAAATCCCCAAAAGATATGCTACAGGCAGGGGATTTTATATGATTATCTCCTTCCTGTCACAGTAGTTAAAATTTATCTGCAATTACTAAAACCTAAGTCAATATAATCAAGTTTCTAGCCATCATTTTTTTTATTTACATCTGTTTCAATTTCTAGTCTACCTGGCAAGATCTACCTAGCACTTCAGAACCGTGTCCTCTCCTATCACAAGCACTGCTTGTCAAATCAGTCCCAATTCACTCTTCAGAAGTGGTTTATCATCAGGGACTTACTACAAAATTTCTCTGGATGCAAAGTGACAAGGAATTCCATTTGCTCTCCTTTCTCTGAACTGCTGCTACCTGTGCAAGGCTGACAAAAACAAAATGTCTTTTGCCATCAAAACACTACTATGTATGCATATACTAGTTATAAGCTAATAGTTTGCACATGTTTTTTCAAGGGCTCTCACACTGAAATTTATTTTAAATCAAAACTTGCCCTGTTCTAGGTCGACTCAAATATCAGAGATGCAATAAAACCCAAAAAGGATGCGAGAATTTTCAGAGAAAAATTAGAGGAGAAATTATTCATTCCAAAGAAAACAAAACCCACGCATGTTTAACAAACTCTTCACCTTCCCTACACTAACAACCTGTGTAACCTCAAATTAATTTATTCTGGAAAACAGATGAGTGCAGATAACGTACATTTGACTTTCAGGATGCAAGGCTGTCCTGTAGTTTAGATTCCATTAACTAACCTTAATGTACGAGTGATTAATTTGCCCACAAGTATAACAGTTAGAACAGATGCAGCTAAATTGATTGACTGTGTTACTGCATAATTGCTGTCTCCACATGGGTATAAGCATCATTCTCAACCAGAAGCTATGGGCTCAATGTTAAAATTACTGGGTGAACTGGCCTGTGTTATTCAGGAGCAAAACATGATGAGTAATATTACTTTCTCACTTAAAAGTAGGAAGGTGAGCCAATAACAAAAAGCTGAAGATAAAAACTCTAAATACAAAAACCTGTTATTTGTGCATTTATATTGCCTGTGTGCTGAAAGAGAGTCTTTAGCCAAAATCCTCTGCTCTTGTAAATTAACTAACTTAAATGTAGAAATAAAATCACTGGGAATGATTTAACAACAGCAAATACAAAGCAATTTGGGGCAGGCAGATGTTTCTTTAATTGTGCCGGCACTTTGCACAGCCATTCTGGCCATTTGACACTTGAGGATAATTAAATTCAAAAGCACCGTACCTTCCGAAGAGGTTTGAGCTTGGTCTCCATTATAAAGTCGTATTTGCAGAGTTCACAACAGCGCGTGTCTGAGCTCTTAATCCACTGGTGCAGGCAGGCCTGATGAACAAAGCGCAGGGTCCCTGTGCAGCGACATGGTGTGATGAGGGGACTTTCATCATCTCCCTCACAGTGACAGATCCTGACAGGAAGGACAGCAAGAGCTAGTGAGGGAACTTGCCGACCAGCAGTGCAAAGTCACTGGTTTATTTACACTCTTTTTAATTTTCAGACTTGACATTCATAAGGTGGCAGGTGTATGACCTTTCAGATCGAGGCACGGGAACGTATTCCTCATTCCGTTCTGCCACTTAGTCATTTCTCTTCACTTAGTTATTTCTCTTTGAATTTGGCATGTGGTCTGAAGGTGAACAAACAGAAATAACACTTTTTTCCCTTTTATGCGTGGCAAAATCTGTAAGACAAATACTAGTGCTCTTTCTAAGAGCAGAATAGTTCTTGGTCCGTAGGTATTACCAATAAAATACTCAAAGTCAGCAGAATCTAACCCAAGCTGAAAATATCCACTATGAAAAATACAGAGTTCCTAGGATACCCCATTTGGAGTTACACAGTTAAAAGGATTAGATAACACTTTTGAGTACTCTGGAGTCATGTGTACGGCACAGCGTATACACACATGCACACACTTTTTAGGAGGCAGGTGTTAAAAAGTCATAGTCCTTCCTCTTTTTTATTCTTCACTGTCCCTTTGAAAGAGATAGCTGAATTATCTGGGAAAACAAAATGTGCAGCTGTAAGCAGGCCCTAAGACAGAGGTTGCTCCCAGGACTGTTGTTACCTTGTAATGGAATACACAGCTTTCTGCATTGTGGTTTTGCATAAAGTGATCAGCGACCTAACATCACAATCTGATAATTTTCTTCTGAGACACATGTCCAAACATCTTGGTGATCTTCCCCTCTTCCAAACAGATTCCTGATCATATCAGGAAAATATTCACCCATTGAAACCAATGACAGTTTTATTGGCAAGCATCTCTGTGAACACAGAGAAAGCTCTACAGTGAGTGTCAGGCTTAACCGATCACCTGAAGTTGAGAAGGTTCACCTCAACAAGGAGAAACTCCTTCCCATCCCCACCCCAGAAAAACACAGCAAAGCACCCGAGCCCTAATGAACGTCCTAAGTGTCAAACTGGCATGTAAGGGGAAAAAAAGCTGAAGCCTGAGAAATGTTATTTCAAAACAGAGAAGTAGCAACCACAGCATAGATCCTGGTGTCACACAAACAAAACTTAGAGCTTCAAAACTTAGTACTCAGGAAAAGCACCCTCAGACATATGCGTGCAGAAGAGTCTGAAATGTTTGAGGAATATCTCACCGCTTTACGCAGAAAGCTGTGGCCACACTGCTCCTGGGGTAGGAGGAGGGCCCTGCGGTGAGGTTGTCTTCCTACTGACCAGGTTTGGGAAGAAGGGTGACCTTCTCCATAGCACAGGAGCGCCTGGCCTGCAGCATCAGGAGGCAGCCTGGCAAAGACACCCCCTGAAAGACCAGCTACAGCACAGCACCGAGGCTGCCGAGCAGGGGGAGGGGGAATTCCAATGTCTAAGTGACATGGATCAAAACCAGCAGCTTCGCTATTCTTCCATGGTGTACCCTAGAGCCGTAAGAAAATGAATCTACCGTAACGGGAAAGCAGAACAAGGCTGCTTTGCTGGATATGTTGAAAGAAAGAGACCCCAAAAATCCAACAAAAATAATTAAGCTCCGGAAACCTGATACCCAAAAGCCAGGTTTCAGTGTCTGTGATGGTGCCCGTACAGCATCTTATGCCCCATGGGAGCGAAGGGGAGAAGAAAACATCCACAACTCCCATCCTGCAAACATTTCTTTTCTGAGATGCGTTTTACAGGAACTCAGTTTACAGTCTTGTCTTTACTAACCAAGCCAAGCTAGGTACATCAGTGGCTTAGTTCTTAAATGGAAACTGGCTGTATGCTGACTTTTTATTGAGCCTGTAGCTTACACAGAACTAAATTTTCAAAACACTGAATAGCTATTTTGCTAACAAATGCATTCCCAGTTGAGAGTTACATAAAAAACATCATTTTCTTTTTAAATTAAAGCTCTTTCCCAGAGGAAAACTAGTATGCTTTGTTCATTTAAATTCAAGCTATACATAATTTATTTTACAGGCTTAGCATTTAAACTATTTAGAAACTAGACAACTGAGCTATGTACCCAAGAGTCTTTTTTCTTCTACTGCCAGAATTGTTTAAAATTATTTTAAGAGCTAATTTTAGGCTTTTACAAGCCTAAAACTCCATGAGGATCTTCAAATAAAGAGACATGGAAAATCTGAAATGAATAGAAATATTCTTTAGTAGAAATACTTTTACATAAAACCACTATATGAATTACACATTCTATTTGTGCTTTTGTTGTACAGAAGTTACAAACTAAATGTACAAATAACAGGGTGACATCAGGAACTTACATTATACAGAAGCTTGAACTAAATAATCTAATGGCCTCTTTTAGCTTTATAACCATGAAATATGTAATGAGAATAAAAACAAACTTCAAATGGAATTAGAGTCCAGAGAAAATAACCAAAGGCATAGTCTTCATTAGCTTGAATGCTCTTTGGTGCAATTTACCTCTTCGTTATATGTTTATCCAGAAGAAAGTAGATTGAAAGAAATTTGTGCTACCTCAACTCACAAGCACAGTCTTTAAAGATATGTGGGTACCTGACAGTTATTGAAACAGACTGTTGGCTAACTGTTTAAATATCTTTTAAAGACTTGGGCCAATAAACCTTGTAATATCTTGCTCAGCTATTAGTACTGAATCAGAATTCTATGTGTTTTTGCCCTTTGCTGTATTTATCTATCAATCACGTACATCAGAATTATCACAAATTATAGAAAATAAATTGTAAACAATGGTTTTGAAAAATATGTTATGCAAACAGAACTGAGGCATGGATACAAAGCATAGACTTACCTGTTCTGTATCTAAACCAAGTTGGAGGCAGAGAACTTCCATTCTGGTTTCCTATTTTCACATGATCACAACTGTTCAAAATTTTCACCCACGGGACTATTTACTGTGCTGAACTTATCCTGAGAGTAAAATTTGCTTATATACTTTAGAAATGAGTTGAATAAAAAACCCACACTCCCTACTATAAAGAAAAGAAAAGAAAAAAAAAAGTAAATTGATAAATCTATACTGATTTATTTACAAGTTGTAGTACAGCACTGATCATGGTTAACAGCTGCGGTTTCAACTGCTCAGACACACCTACAGAATTCATATACTCAGCTTTTCTCAGCTTTCTAGTCCTTTAGTAGATAAATGGCCTTCATTACAGAGCAATACTTTTGACTATCTGGAAACATAGGGGAGGGAAGTCAGCTATTTGACCAAATCCTTTTAATTAGAATCCCTTTATAGTCACAAATTGAGTCTGTATTTTTTTTTTTTTTGTAGGTTTGACAGCTTAGTGCTTTAAAGGTTCATGCCTAGGAACAGGTCCTTGCTTGTCTAGGGGGAAAGATGAATACAAGGCTCCAGAGGAGCTTCTTCTCTACAGATCACATGTACACCAGACAACACAGCATATGTCAGCTGTTAGATGATCATCTGATTCAGATATACAAAATTTTGTGTGTGTGTGCATAATATACACCTCCAGACCTATCCCTACACACTGAGATCACCAAATGTTTATTTTTCTTTAAAGAAGGCTTACTGTGAAACTTTATGAAATAATACTCTCACGGTCCACTCATTCTTATGCTTAAGTTTTTGCTTTATATGACAGAATTTTAATTACCCAGCACATATCTCTCTAGCACAGAATTGTTTCTACAACTTTCAGCACACAGATGTACCAAGCAGAGAAATTTATGCCAACACTGTGGATATATTAGACAAAAATCCATAAAAATTCTTTAAAGGATATTCTTAAATAGCAGGTTCAGGCTCAGTTACAATGCAATAAATTAGCAAAAAGAAAAAATAATTTTCAGGAAAAAAATTTAAAAATGTTGAGAAGAATTTTATTTTACTGAAAACTCAAAAGGAAATTAGTCTTTGTAAAAGACTGTTTTGCATAATTCATATAAAACTGTTGCAGATTTCTTGTATGTTCCCTACACACACAAAAAACCCCCAATTCTCAAACAGAAACAGAATAGTTCAATTTAGAAAATTTTTAGAGAATGATGTATGTAAAAATGAAAAGTTAAAGAAGTTTACCGAGAACATTTTAGAATTATTTTTCAGTATTTCTTTTTGTTCAAAATATTAATTAAAGCACCTTCAAATGATGCTGGAAAACTCCCTGATAACACAATGCTTGACTGAGGAATTGTATGTGACATATTAAACTTTGTACCATAATGACTATGTAAAATTAGTAAGTAAAGTTGCCGTTAGTTTAAGGTATACCATCTTCGCTGAAGGGCATATTGGCACCATACATCTATAAATGAGAGAAATTTCTTATCAGATTAAAATTATGAGATGCTGCTAAACTCAGCACTCTGAAGTGAGGTACTGTCACACTATCTTTAATTCCATGACTGTGGATTGTTTTCCCTTGTTTTCCCTGGTCCTGTTCACTGCAAAAATTAGAAGGCAGGAAGGAAAGTGTGAAACAAGATGGCTTCATATGCTGATTGGATTTACATTGATTTTCAGAAAAGCAGCAAAAGCTATCCTGGATGACTGTCCTTCACTTCTCACCAAATTTAGATTATTTTTTTTTTCCATACAGACAAATATTTCTTACTTAATTTCAGTTTAAAAGATCAAGTAAAATCAGCACGAAGCAAGGAGTTCATGTGGAAAATTTGCAGGTTTTCCTGGCAGTGGTTTAGTTTGGCAAAATCATAGCAACCAAAATTACAACCTAGGTGGTTAGTCACCGAGCTGCTTATTTCAAGACAGAGAGGTAGATGCCAACAGGTTTGTAGCTTTTCCTTCATACGTAAGGTAACAATTTTGCTCTCACTAAAGAGAATAGTTGCTAATCTCTACCCACATTGGAAAAACAGCAGTTATACTAACCTGTCTTTCACTAATCCACTTCTCTCTTTGGTAATTAAGAAAATAGGCCAGTCTATGCCACTGTAGGGATGTCGAAACCTCACTTATTCTGCAGG